ATTGAAGTCTGATGATACAGTAACTAGTAGATACCGAACTCCTAATCTGCGGCAGAACACAAGACTGGTAAATCTACGTGTACTGTTGCATAACCACTCATGAATTAATTAATGGAAATACAACGGCATACCTCAAATTAGAGGAAAACCGGTCTGGACAAGTCAATCGGTTTGACATGACAAGGGCAAAAGTGCCAGGAAAACAGCCTTGGAGATTGCAGGAGGAATGCGATGTAGGTATAGAAACAGTACTGTGTAAAGGGCGGTGAAGACCAATCACAAAGATGGGATAGCGAAGTGACATCAAAGGCGTGTGTGGGGTGACAGGTGGTAACCGTAATCACGGTGTAAGTGAGAGAATAGACAACGGGAGCGGGGAGGGTGTCTGGAGTGGTTAAGCTCACTAGGCGGACGGTAGCATGTGGGTCAGGGAAGAACTGATTGCAAGCAAAGAATGAACAGTGAGCGAGTGATAACAGTTAAGACGGTGGGACAAGCATAACGGGAGGGTGCTGAACAGGTAGCTTCAAATCATACAAGGCAGGGTTGAGATAACAGATAATCTTAAAGGTAAATTCGTCGTGTATATAGCAAATGAAGCTTGAACTGACAAGCTAGGAAGCATTGGACAGCTGTTTTGACCTGTTTGGGTCTCATCAGCAGTGTGAATCCAACTGAGTCATAGCCCTGGAGGCTAGTGCTCAAATGACCAGGGTCTGTGGCCCGCAATAAGCTCGCAAAGATGGGTTGTGCGTTATCGTGTAAACAGAAAATGAAAAACAGCCTAAGCAGCTGCCCGGTGGCCGAGTGAGCAGTATGCTTGCGTTCTACCCGTGAAGCCCCGGGTTTGATTCCCAGCTGGGTCGGTGGATTCGCACTGCTGATGAGACCCAATTAGATCGAAACAGCTGTCCAGTGCTTCCTAACTTTTCAGTTCACGCTTCATGCACGACGAATTCACCTTTGAAATTGGATCAAATCTTCTATTACTCACTTGATAATAGATAATGATCATGGGTTGAGCGCAGAACGAATGACGACAGTTACTACGACACAGTTTCCATGTGTGGGTGGAGGTAATATATTACGATAATAGGTTATACCAAGAACGGGTCACGATAATTAATACCTGGGGCGGTTGAGTAATCATAGGGGAAATACGGAAAAGTGCAAACTGAATGGCCATGGACGGGGAACGTAGCAAGTTCCGATCCGACGGGCAAAGATCATCATCAAACTGGAAGGTGATTTGAAACGCACATGGATTGCTGGGTTTTGAACAGAGTACAGGTAGGCCCGGTGTAAGTAATTTCAATCACAATAAAGCATCTTACGAAGATTTATAAAAATATTTCGATTCGTTTGTGATTTGAATCGCATGATTCACATTTCGGTCAGTTAACTCGTGACGGAAATACCTTGACTGTTTTACAGGCCCGGATAATTTGAGCAAAGTGGCCCATCACTGGATTGGCGGACTCATGGCTCATTTACCCGCGATACTGGCCTTTTGTTCACCCACGGTCAATTGTTATCGTCGTTTGCACAAGAAGCTCGCCCCGGACGCTGTGAATTGGGATATTAACGACCGATTCGTTGCGGTTCGAGTGAAGAACACGGATGAGAAACGCACGTATATCGAAAACCGGATACCGTCGTCCGCCTCATGTTCCTATCACGTGATGGCTGCGACCATCGCGGCCGGGATGGACGGTATTGAACGCAAACTTGAGCCACCGGCTCCGGGACAAAAGCCAGTGGATAGGAAAGCGACAGCCACATGCAAACTGCTTCCGCACACATTACAGGAAGCACTCACGGAACTTCGTGCCGACGAGCCATTAGTGAAACGGTTGGGTGAGGAATTTGTGGACTGGTTTGTGCAGAATAAAGAACGTGGAGATTTGCACACTTTGGGTAAAGTGGACGTGGGCAAGAATTCCGGATGGGATTTAGCGTTCGAAAGAAACGAGTATTTGTTTTATATTTGATGCAGCTTTCAGGATTTATACGGTTCCCAAATGTGCCCTCTTGTCGTCGCGCTCTCTTTCTCTCTCTCTCTCTCTTATGCATACCCTTTTCACATGTACACAGGTTACTGGACACCCTCCCCTTATTTCTCATTCGATCTTCCCCTTTCAATCCTATCTGAACCTCACGCCCCCCCCCCTTACTCATCAATCCGTCCGTCCGTCCCGATTTGGCCTTACCGGAATCCCCAAAACGTATTCACATTCATTGTTGGATAAAAGTTCTCCATTAATTAGGATATTTTAGTGCATGTAACCGAATGTGGAGCTGTTATTTTCGATTGCGCAACAGTCAGTTCAGTCAATGGCCTGTCTGATGCGTGAAGTTAAATGCACACCCAGGGTGACGGAAAAGTTGGAAAGAAGAAATTTATGACTTTTTCTAAATATTGCATGATTCCTTACCGTTTGGGATTTTGCATTCAATTTGCCCTGTTCACTTCTGTATAAGAAAGTATCACCTATTTTCTTATTCACTGTGTTTTTCTCTCTCTATGTCCACGTAGAAGGCTGGATTCTTTGAGTTGCAAAAAACCAAATTAGTCTGTTGAATGTGTAATTGACAAAACGTGAAATAGGATGAAAATTAGCTTTTTAAATCATACAACTTGGGGATAGGAGTGGGGACTGATCACACCCGGTGGATATTTTTTTGCAAACTTTGATTGCGCTGAGTTTCGGTTTCTACAATCATTAACCATGCACTTTAGTGAGCCAGTTTCTGTTTCTATGTTTGGACTAGTCACTTGGATGAAAGAGCAAAAGGAAGATTGGACTGTTGAGAGGGCCATTTATGCACAAAACCTTAGCCCTCCATGGTAATCCCAGTTTTAGAGCAGAAAGAAGATTGGAATACTCATAGCACAATCAAAGAGAAGATAGAGAACTCACAAGGACTGTTTGCAAGACTAATGAGTAGATGAACGAGCATCACTGTTTACAAGTCTCATTCCTATCACTCAGTGTCTTTGACCACCGGCTACCGTGATCTCGAGGTCCTCGCATCCAGGGAGCCTAACGCGACCTATATGATCAAGTCTCCTGGTCAGGGTTTTCATGCCCTCATGCCAGGTCTTAGTTTACCCACCCTTGACCATTTTCTATCCCCTACTTGCCAAGGCAAACATCGTACGTCGGGGCAGTCGAGTGGATGACATGCGTGACACATCCCTCAACCGGTGTAATCTATAGAGGTCGACCATTTGCTCCAGTGGGCGACTGCGGTTACCTAAAACTACGCCTAACCTCGGCATTGACTGTCTGGTTTTCTCACTCAGCTCGTGCAATGTAGCGTAGACAGCGATGCTCATACACTGATAGTCTCTATGCTGTTTTTGTAATGGCCAAGTCTCAGTAAAGCAAAGTAGAACTGGCCAAACTGCTGCAGCGTACACTCCACCCTTCACAGACAGCCGGATATGGCGACGGTGCCACAGATGTCTTCAGTTGGCAAATACTAATGGAGCCTTCTGCATACGTGCCGCCACTCCATCCGCGATTTGTCCGTCAGGTGAGATGTAGCTGACTATGAGGCAAAATGTGTCTACTTTCTCCACTACTTCCCTAGATTGAGTGAACTTAGGGGCCGGGTCAACCCAGCATTATAGTACCATTTTATACTTTGAAGGTGAAAAATGCGTACCGAAAGTGGCTATGCTAGTGCACAAACTATCTAAAAGTGCTTGCTAACCTTTGGATATATTGGTAACTGTGACTTCTCAGCACATAGCGTAATACACTCTAACTGATAGTAAGTAAATTTAACTCACATGATCAAGGAGAACACACAGAGAAAGAGGGAGAAACTATGGTTAGTAAGATTCTTCTGCGGACCGGTGTCTTGTACACACGGACGGGGACCGTCACCAATGCGTAATTAACTTGTGTGCCCGACGGGTCTTGAATCATATACCTGCTAGTCGGAACGATCAATGCTTATGGTAAAATGCTATATTAGTATATTGAACAGCGTTTGTTGACAGCCGGGTCTGTACAGTGCTTAATGGAGACCATTTAAAAGCAAAAAATTCATCCAAAAATTGCCCGGCGGTTTTGGTTTTTGGTGACCACACACATCTGATCCATGGGGATCTCATAAAATGCTCTAGTAAGCATACTCGGGTTTGATTATCGTCATCATCATCATCATCATTCGAGTCATCCGAGTCAGCATCATCATGATCATCATGATCATCACCCGTGTACGTGTTTTGCACAATGACTTCAGTTCAGTTCAGTTTAACCAACCACGTGCCAGTTTTTCTGATTGTGGCTGTTTTCTTTGCCAAACCACTCTGTCCAAGATGTATTCGAGTAAAAAGTACAGACACATAATGAGACAGTGGCAAACAGCCTCAAGGGAATGAATGGATCCGGGAACACATGTTCTCAGTTGGGCATGACTACCTAACTGACACGTCTAAATCCAGCACGCAATCGAGTCAAATCCTCCGAATGCGATGATTTCGTGCCTGTATGCACATTCCGGTTGGATGCGACCAGTTCGATTGACCCGGTTGAGTAGTGCACTTTCGAGTTCCACATTCGAATCTCGAAATGTATGCGTTTGATAAACACGGACTGCCTACTCCCCGGCCCCCCCTTACCCACATAGACACACATCTGTCTGAAACTTCGTCCAGTGCATATCAAATCTGACACATTAGATATGAACGATGACTTTAACTCTCTATCTCTCTCTCTGTGTGTGTGTGTGTGTGTACAACTTCACGTAATGGCACAATTTTCATAATCAGACCTCAAGATCGTATTATCAGCCATGACACTTATGACACACCTGACGTCCTCTGTTCGTTTGTTCGTCCACGAAGCACTCCAGCTCATTATCCTGTTCACACGCGCATATTACAGTAACCCCGTGGACCAATTCCCACTGCAAGTTGGTCTCTTCGATCGAGCTGTGTGCATTTGCAATGCTCCCCGTGTACATGTTTTATTCTTCTTCGCTCANGCTGCTGCAGCAGCTTTCTGTCGTTGTCACTGTTGTTTTCGTCCAAATCACCGCGGTTAACCGGACTGAGGTCACATGTGTGTGTGTGTGTGTGTGTAATCGATCGGCAAACACAAGCTCAGTGTCAGGGTCTTGTTTGAAGCTTGTCAGACACACATGGTATGTTTGTTTGTATTCCTGATCTTGAGAGAGTCGTAATGTGAACGCAGGTGGGGATGGTTGAATGGACGGACGGATGGATGAGTATATCGGGAGTGGGGGAGTTAGACGAGATGTCAGACCAGGAACAGTGATCGGAGGGGAAAGAAATGAAAGGTACAGTGGTGACGACAGCTCAAATTGCGATGATGACAGCGAGAAGCAGTGATTATGCGCCCGGGTTTCAGTAAGAACAATATGGTTAGTCTTATTCTCTTCCGACTGCAGCATGTTCGAATGTAAGACCAACGGCGTAAACCTGATCGAGTCAACCACTGGTGTGATTTTATATGTGCGTCCAGGGTCTACAGGCGGAGTGAGCGAAGTCGGTATTGCACGCTTGTGCGTTTGCTCGATTACCAGTCCCTTCCCCTTCTGTTTGCACCTCCACTCTCCACTCTCTCCACTCTTTCACTCTCCAACATGCGTTGAGTCGTGCTTCGTGCGGACATAAACACACGTCAAATCGAGTCAGTCCCAGGGGTCGGAATGCTTGATCTGATGTTTGTTTGCTTGTTACCAGTTGTGTTGATCGAGGGTGTTTTACCAGCACGGCTGGATGAAAGAGAGATCGTACGGCGTTCGATGATCACATGTTCGGATTATCCGATTGCACTGGATCTGGATCAAACAGTTGGGCCAGTAACAGACATGTCTGTTGATCACTTTCATTTCGCAGAGATTTTCGAATGTGCGAGAAAAGGTTTGAAAGAAGACAGCTGAAACTGCTGATTTGTGATCGGTGCAACCATTAGTATTCTTCGAGAGGGTAGGGAGAGGAGACTAACGGTAAACTAGTCCATATGCCCTGGTAACTGTTTTCAATAATTTTTCTCTCGTAAATGATTTTATCGTAATTTAAATGAAGCTGCGAGTCAATGATGTTGTAACTGTATCGAAAGAAAACCGACTACTATAGCGTATCATGGTTTCTCAAGGGATTTCTCCTCCGGTCTAAATTGTGCGAACCACACATTGAGCTTACAAACCATGGGGTTCAAATGTTTACCTCTGATCGGAGTGTTCCCGATTGTTGGAAAGGGTTCCGTTAACTATCACCCAGTTGCCTCAGGTTTCTGACTTCCGAAAGTTCTTGAGAGCATATCCTGTACCTCGCATATCCCTGCCCCTGTGGGTCCGTTGGTCCCTGTTCTGTATGCTACTGAACCCACTCGCTCATCTGTTGATATCGAACAAACAATTTGGAACTTGAGTTTTCCTCTGATTGCCTAAATACTTTTTGAAATCTCTATCGAAACGGGCACCTGTAACTTAGCTGTTAGAATAGTTTCCCACCACCGTCCGTGTTGTTCCGCGATGTCCGACATTGTGCGTGAATACTTCTCACCGTGGACACAATTTACATCCAGCGGTTCTGAGCGCTCTTCTTCCTCTACTCTTCCGATTGCCTCTGATGTTTTCTAACACGTCGTTCCGTATCAGTTCTCCTGCTCATCCGCGTCTTTATCCTCAGCGTTCTTTTTCTTCTCCTCGTGATGCATTGTAAATGTACTGACCCTCGCGGGGTTCATTGATTGTAAGTATGCTGATCCTGTTGCGGTCGGGTTTGCTCGTCATTATGTTATCTGTTTTCGTGACCCGCAAACCCGGTTGATAGACACTTGCATCTGTCGGTCTCACATAGTAGACCTTCTCAAATGCACGTATGTCTTTTTGTAACCTAAATTATATTGGACTGTATTAACCAGTTCTTTACATTTAACTAAGAAAGAAAACGCTCTCGTAATATGATCACAGAGGAATACACTGGAAAAGCAAAAAGACATATAAA